CTCTGGGAACTTGCTGTGGAATTCAACCTGTGAGTTTGCCTGTGAAGTAGGGTTTGTGTTGAAGGGATCAGACAGGCTGCAGTGCAGCGCTTCTGGAAAGTGGGATGGAGAGCAGCCGGAATGCAAAGGTACTTTTCTTTATCACTGCCCTTCCCAGTACACAGGGCTCTCACTGCTTGTATAGAGTGCTCCTGTGGCGTCCAAACTAACCGCTGATGTGCTCTCTGTGTGTCTCAGCTGTGACATGTGAAGCAGTGAACAGGCCTGAAAACGGCTTTGTGGAATGTACCAGCCATCATCCAGAATTCACCTACAACTCGGCCTGTGAGTTCCGTTGTGAGGAGGGCTGCAGATTAAGTGGATCACCCACAATTCAGTGCACAGCTCAGGGAGAATGGTCAGAGCCCTTCCCAAAGTGTGAAGGTAGGTCTTTGTCATTTCAAAATAATCAAGTCAGGCTCAGGAGCCTAGGTATCTGTTACAAGCATGACACCTCAAATCCTGTGTATTAAAAGTAAGGCCAGCTCGTGAGCTGGTGCAAATTGGTGTAGCGCCATTGAACTCAACGGAGCTACACCAGTTTGCATGAGCTGAGGATCTGATCTAAAGTGATTCCTATTGAAGTCTTAAAGTGCAGAACATTTGAAAAAACAAGTTAGCTTGATACAGTAGTACTACCAGCCCTTTACTTTGCTGAAGTGTAATATATTTTAGCAAAAACTCACTGCAAGGTCATTTATCCCAGAAATGAAATGCAGATGGTGAAATATGGTGCACATTTACTAGAACCAATAGTGGGACCCAGTTTTGGACATTTCTTAGAGTCTTCATTAACCGTTTGTATGTGTTTTTGTATTTCAGTTGCACAGTGTGAAACCCTGATACTCCCTGAGAAGGGCTACATGAATTGTTCACACCCTCTTGGGGATTTTGCATACAGCACAGTTTGCGAGTTTAACTGTACAGGGGGATGGTTGCTAAACGGCTCTAACGTACTTCAGTGCGGCGCTGCAGGGAACTGGACTGCAAGTCAGCCGACGTGCGAAGGTATTTTATGTGTGTTTTTACTTGTAACTAGGTGCTGAAGAGGCCTGGCCTTGTTATTAGATGAGAATCTAGGGAAGGATGGGATTCAATGACTTTTGTCATTTCTAGCGCCGGTCAGATATATTTTTTCCCATTGAAAATATTTGACTTTTTGTTAAAAATCCCGAAAACTCAGAAATTGACATTTTTTGGTTTTCAGCTGAAAATTTTCCTGTTTTTGGCTTTCCATCGAAAAATTGAAAATTTTCAAGGAAAGCAAACAATTTCTGTGACAATTTTCATTGAGGCAAAAACCCAATTAAAAAAAAAAAAAAGCATTTAGACTGAATTTTTTTTGCCAGCTCTAAATACCTCATAACTGACATATTTTCAGGCTAGAACCAAATAGCTCACTTCTATAAGTGGTTGCAAATTATGAGTGGGATTTAAAAAAATGTTCCACCTTGGCTTAACTCTGCTCTTATCCGAGTCAACGGGAGTTGTGTCACTGATTGCAATAGGAGCAACAATGGGCCACACTGAGCACTTTCAAAAATCCCACCTATCATCCCTAAGATACCTTTCCTCACATTGTGTCGTACATTACTCCTTGAGTCAATTCATTGATTTCAGTGGGACTGCTCAAGGAGTCAGACATTACTCAGTGGGAGTAAAGATATCAAAATCTGACCCTAAAGATCCATTCAAAGTAACAAGGGACCCTGCAGAATTGCATCCTCGCTAACCTGCCACCAGTTAGACGGGACTATTTTCAGCATAAAGCTTTCAGCCATTGTTTGGCATATGCAGAGGCTTTCCCTGCCCAGTCCTGCATACAGCAGGTGCCACCACTCAGTGTGAGAAACCAAAGGAAATAAGCAGCTGTCTTGCTGCTTGCAATAGGACTGAATGGAAACGGAACAAGCAGAAAGCACTTCAGAGACTGTGCATTCCTCCTGATCTCATAGGATCTTCTTTGCCTTCTTAGCTCCCCAAGTGCCTGAAGAACTGCTCAGTTATGTCTCTGTTGGAATAGCAGCCACCAGTGCCTCGCTCCTGTCGACAGCATCATTCCTCATTTGGCTTGTAAAGCGCCTTCGAAGGAAAGGTGAGATACTGTCCCAGGTTCATCTCTTTATTTGCACCCTCTGTAGAACTGGTTGGAAATTTTTCAGAAAAAAAAAAAAGTGGAAACTTCAGAGAGAAAATTCCCATCTGTGTTGAAATTTTTCAAATTTCCCTCGAAATATTCCATTTTTAGGTTTTTGACAAAAATCTCCCCAAATTCAACAAAAATGAAGAATTTTCATGTTCTTTGAACATTGCTGCAGAAAATAAAATACGTTTTTCGACCAGCTTTAATCATTAGCAGTTATTGCCAGGAGAACTGACCAGGGATCAGCCAGGAGGACATCAACCAGAAATAACAGTGGTGCCTCCAACCGCTATTGCTCAGTATGCCAGATAGGGCATTTGCAGTGTTGTTGTAGCCGTGTTGGTCCCAATATATTAGAGAGACAAGGTGGGTGAAATAATGTCCTTTATTGGATCACCTTGTTTCTAGAGATATGAATAATGACTGTTATAGAAACAGATATCTATAGAAACAATTATGACTGCAGAGCTGAACAAATAATTCAGAGCAAATAATTTATTTGTCAAATGGAGACTCTTTCTTCTCACAAGTAGTGCATAAGCAGTTTATGCCATTTTTGATTGATCTGCATTTTAAAAATTATTTGCTGACTACTTTCCTGCTCTGCAGTTTGCTCACAGTTTGTTACAAGCATTTGATATTCAAAACATGAGCAATGCTGATTAGTTTTAATTGGACAAATCAGTCACATGGTATCTTTCATTTCCCTGATTATATGAGACATAAAATCAGGTTTCCAATGAAACAACTTACATTTACAAGATGAGAATTTGCTTCCCAGGAATATTCCCTAATATTCACTTAAGATGCATTATTTCTGTTAATTTTCCTGACAATCAACGTGTTTGTTAGAATATGAATGGAACAAAGAACACAAGACGGCTACAAAGGCACCCTAAGAGAATACACTGTGTTAGTTAGGCAAATATATGTGGAGCGTTCATTGAGATACCTGTTCAGTTCTACTAGTAAGTACTGATTTCTCACAGGGAGCAGAGGGGCTGGTCCTAGAGGCCCAGATGTAACAAGTTGCTCTGCTCATGGGTTATAACATTTTGGGGAACAGCTTCCAGGTCTAAGGCCATTACAGGTCAGAAGGGTTATGGAGAAGAGGTGATGATACCTCACCTCAGCCTATAACAGATTTCTGTTGTTAAATCAGTGGGGTAATTCTCCAACAAAACAATGAAATAAATAGCTTGCAAGATGGAGATGGTCATCTCCAGAATGCTAATGATATTATCTTTTTCTCTTGCAGCAAAGAAATTTACTCCTGCCAGGTACGTTGTATTTAAAAAACCACATGAGAAGCATTGCAGTCATTCTTTGCTAACATCACACTGAGTACAGAACAGTTGTATATAAATTCCTCTCCTCTATATCTTACAGCAGCTGCCAGAGTCTCAATTCAGAGTGTACCTTCCAAAGCCCTGCTCATCTAATCTAACGCCAAGTGACTCTGGTAAGATACGCGAGATATTTACACTCATAATTTAGTTTCCTTTTTAAAACACAAACAAACATAGAACGCATTGCTCTTTAGAATGACCTTTAACTGCTGTGTATTTCCAGCAATAAGATTAACCCCTTACTTACCGTGGGACACAGCATACGTGCTGTGGTGATGAGGCCATAAAAGTACCCAGAGATTGACAGATTAATCGATTCGGCGATGGCCATTCCTACGACTAAAGGATAATTGTGTTAGGTTCTGTGCCCAACCTTAGGAAATAGTAGAAACTCCTTTACAATGTGACTATGGGCCAGATGCAAAAGAGCTTTGGAATAAGGGAATACAAACCTGTGCCTGTATCTTCCTGTTTTAAAAAGGAAATCTGTTATCTCTGCAGGAATTGAAGCTATCTTCATGGATGCCTCAGAGCCCCTCAGGAAATGGAGCTATGCAGTCCTCAGCAAGCGGCCAGGTATTGATACATCTTGCTGACAAGATGATTAGCCTTGGATCTTGCTACTAAATACTGAGCTCACTCATCTGGTTCTGCCACTGAAGACAAGCAAGCTCGCGGTAAAACCCTAGCTGTTTACCAAGAGACTACATGGGTCCTGTCAACGTACAGCTACAGTGATTGGGAGATCTCTATTCATTCTCTGGATGGGGACAAAATAAGCTGCTATCTACTCCTCTAGGGTCAGTCTGTAGGTACCAGGGTGGAGTGAACACTTTGCAATATACGTGGCTGGAGATCTCTCCCATGGAAACACATGGGTCCCATTTTTAAAGAAAAATAGTTAGAATGGGAAATATTTGTGGAATTGCCTTACAAACCATTGATTTGGTTCACTGGTAATTGTTGAAGTAAATGTACTGTAACAATATGTCACAATTAATAAATCTGCCTGTAACACTATGGTCAGGGTGTTTTGCTGCAGTTCCTAGCGAGTTTTTATATTGTAACTTTAAACCATTGCTAATGGGAGCACTATCAGAGTTAGTAATTATGCCAGGCACTCTGGTTCGTGAATGCAACAAGTAGACCTGAAACAATTTCATCCCCATGGGATTAAGTATTGTAATCTATATAAATATATATTTAGTTTCTTGTGCACTTTCTTCTGCATGTAATTCTATACTGTTTGTAAATCGTAGAACTGCTGTAGGATATCTGCCCTAGAGTTCAGGATCATATATGTTCTGCAAAAAGTATGTGACATCTACTCTGTTCAGATAAAATAGCCTGTTGTATAACGCAAAAGGTAGTGACTACAGACCTTCTGTGTACTTATTCCTTTAAACTTATCTGTCATTTAGGGACAGACATGATTAAAGGTCTGTATGTGCATTCATGTGTGTCTGAACATAACAACATAACAAAACACTAGACAGAAGTAAAATACCATGTATTAGACCTTTGGAGTCTAATCCTGCTCTCATTAACACTGATGGCAAAACTCCCGTTAATGTCAACGATTCAGGAAAAGGCCCTTCATAACTTACAAGTTGTTCTTTGTGACACCTTCATGAATATTGTGTTTGGTAACATTGCATACATAATAGTCCAATGGAAAGACCTGAGGTCATATTTTAGTGGCTGATGTTTTTGTAAGAAGCAGTTCTGTGGGACTGAATATTTGGGGGCAGAGCTTCACCTGATATAAATTGTCACAGCTCAATCAATCAGAGGTACCCTTTTATGGTTTTCATGTCTGTATATTATGTAAATATAAACTGGCAGCATAAGAAGATGTTTATATATAGTGAATATAATCTGCTTAGGTTTTATATTATCAGTATGGTTTTGAATAAGTTATGTATTTAATGTATTTATGATTACACAGTCGTGGCTGCTTTTAATCTGATGCTCTATGTGATGTTGATTAATAAAATGGTTTGAGATTACTGCTTACATTTTGGAAATGTGTATTATTAGTCTTTGTATAAGATATGTGGATGTTGCTTCAGTAAAAAGCTCCATTTAAAAAAAAGACACAGGTAAAAGTGCTTGGGGCTGTAGAAAGTTGGCTTGCTTACATTCTTTGTTTTCATTCTTTATATTCATAAAATGTCTGAGGTCAGAGAGTAGCCAGAAGATGGCGCTCAATGCCAACCACTGCATGGCCGCTAAAGCACCATGGTATAAACAGCCCAGAAAAGTATCCAAGGTGCTGAATTGCAAAGAGAATGGCTTGGGTACATGGTACATAAGACAGGTGCCTGCGACAGCAGTGAGCACTGGAAGAAGGAGAAACATTCTGTTGACCATGTGGCAGGTGGGATATGAGAACAGAAGGAGAAGTAATCAGGCGACATGGGTATATATCAGCTACCAGAATCCAGAATAGACCCGCACACCACATGTGTCTCTAGCATCCCACTCTGCTGGATTTTTAACCATATACAAGGAAAATATGGGGATGGAAAGTCTGGTGAGTATGAGTGCTATCCTGGCAGTCTATGCAATCACACTAGAGGAGGTCTACTTGTGCTAAGCAATAAGGAAACACAGTGCCAAGTTATGGAGTCTAGCCACATCACTGGGGTAAAGCTGCTCATTTATTGTCAATGTAGAGTTGCATACAGAGTCACTGTCAACATCTCTCACTCTCTCTCTCTTGCTCAAACACACACACACACAGAGCATTCCCTGACCTCTCACAAAATCCACAGATGTTCTGGTTCATTTGCACACAGTCTCATGCAGGCTGACAGTCCTGCCATCACAAACTCGACAGTTCATCGCTTACTTTTTGATGAGGACCAGCAAGCATCCATTTCCATGGTGAGTTATTTTTCATAGCTCTCGCACATAGAAATGGATCTGAAATGGTGGCAACAAATGAAACATAAGGTTGCAATAATGCTGAATGCAGTTTTGGGCTCCAAACACGACGGCATCATGTTGTCTAGCAGGGAGGTAAGAGTTCTTCTCTGTGTTTATATGACATGGTCAGTCTTCTTACTGAAGCCCATCTATACTGGGAAATCATACGTTACAACGTGATCTTGAGGATTTGTTGTAATTAATACAGTGTGGAACATGACTTAGCCCTAAGTATAGACATGTACTGTCATGTTTAACATTGTGTCAGGTAGTCATGGTTGACCCTAGGGATAACTACAGACAACTGACATGATGTTAAACATGACTTAGTTTATACTGTGTGTTTAACGTCATGTTGACTCCTCAAGGCTGTGGTCTAACAGGATGTAGTTTCCCTCCATGGTTCTAGTGTGACTGCGTCTCCTCCTATGGCTGTCCCGGGACTGCACCTGGTATGCTGCATTGATTTCCGGGTACCACATTACCAGAAGGATACTGGCAGGTGTTCAGAGAACAGAACAAAACTGATTGGGAGGTGGGAAGGATCGCTTTATGAGGAAAGCTTAAAAGGGCTAGCTATGAAGAGCTTGGCTAAGAGGTGCTAAAGAGGGACATGATAATAGTCTACAGTTAATTCAAGGTGTGATGGGGTGTGTGCCCTACACTGGCAAACAAAGGGTTAATGGATATGTTAGGCCAATTAGCCCACCAGGTCACACCTGCGGAAGGGAGTGTTAGTCAGGGCTGGCCTTACCATGAGGCGAACTGAGGCGGCTGCCTCAGGTGCCAGACTGTGGGGGGGAGGGGAAAGGGGGGCGGGTGCCACTAGGACGCAGAGTGTAGAAAATTGTGTCTGCTGCTGGTGCATATGTATTAAGAACATAAGAATAGCCATACTGAGTCAGACTAAAGGTCCATCCAGCCCAGTATCCAGTCTACTGACAGTGACCAATGCCAGGTGTCCCAGAGGGAATGAACCTAACAGGTAATGATCAAGTGATCTCTCTCCTGCCATCCATCTCCACCCTCTGACAAACAGAGTCTAGGGACACCATTCCTTACCCATCCTGGCTAATAGCCATTAATGGACTTAGCCTCCATGAATTTATCCAGTTCTCTTTTAAACCCTGTTATAGTCCTAGCCCTCACAACCTCCTCAGGCAAGGAATTCCACAGGTTGACTGTGCGCTGTGTGAAGAAGAACTTCCTTTTATTTGTTTTAAACCTGCTGCACATTAATTTCATTTGGTGGCCCCTAGTTCTTATATTATGGGAACAAGTAAATAACTTTTCCTTATTCACTTTCTCCACACCACTCATGATTTTATATACCTCTATCATATCCCCCCTTAGTCTCCTCTTTTCCAAGCTGAAAAGTCCTAGCCTCTTTAATCTCTCCTCATATGGGACCCGTTCCAAACCCCTAATCATTTTAGTTGCCCTTCTCTGAAACTTTTCTAATGCCAGTATATGTTTTTTGAGATGAGGAGAACACATCTGTATAATGGCAATAAGATATTCTCCGTCTTATTCTCTATCCCTTTTTTAATGACTCCTAACATCCTGTTTGCTTTTTTGACTGCCGCTGCACACTGCGTGGACGTCTTCAGAGAATTACCCACGATGACTCCAAGATCTCTTTCCTGATTAGTTGTAGCTAAATTAGCCCCCATTATATGGTATGTATAGTTGGGGTTATTTTTTCCAATGTGCATTACTTTACATTTATCCACATTAAATTTTATTTGCCATATTGTTGCCCAATCACTTAGTTTTGTGAGATCTTTTTGAAGTTCTTCACAGTCTGCTTTGGTCTTAACTATCTTGAGCAGTTTAGTATCATCTGCAAACTTTGCCACCTCACTGTTTATCCCTTTCTCCAGATCATTTATGAATAAGTTGAATAGGATTGGTCCTAGGACTGACCCTTGGGGAACACCGCTAGTTATCCCTCTCCATTCTGAAACTTTACCATTTATTCCTACCCTTTGTTCCCTGTCTTTTAACCAGTTCTCAATCCATGACAGCACCTTACCTTTTATCCCATGACAACTTAATTTACGTCAGAGCCTTTGGTGAGGGACCTTGTCAAAGGCTTTCTAGAAATCTAAGTACACTATGTCCACTGGATCCCCCTTGTCCACATGTTTGTTGACCCCTTCAAAGA